TGGGAAGAGAAGTGTCAGCACCGCTTGACATCATGCTTGAGATGCCCAGATCAGTACAACACATCCCGAAAGACAAGTGGGCCTGGGAATTAAATAAAACCGTGGAAAACGCACACAAACATGTCAGGATGTCAGGGAGAATATTAAAACAGCAATGGTTAGGCAAAAGAAGTATCACGACCTAAAATTTTCATGGCAGAAATTTGAGCCAGGCTGCCAAGTCTATGTGTTCATTCCAAGTTGGAAGGCAGGTTGCTCGCCAAAATTTAGCAGTTACTAACGGGATCCTTACAAGGTGTTATCAAAGATGACGGATCTTACCTACAAGGTTGGTTGTGGACGTGGTGGAAAACCGCAAGTCATACATGTCGACAGAATGCGTCTAAAGTACCCTCAAACTTTGCTAGGTGAAACGCCTGGTGATGAAAGAACAGCATCAGAGGACGACCCCGAACCTCTATATGATGAGACTGATGTAGGAAAATAGTCTAATTATGATTCTGATGGAGACAACATCGCTGTTAGACGCAGGAGAAAACCACAGTGGATGGAAGACTATATCTTATATTAGGTAGATGTCACTCATTGTCAGGCATAGCACAGTATTGTACATAGATGTACATATAGTAAATAGTAGATCATATGCTGGACGCATATAATCTTGAGGATATTTAAGTGAAACAGAAATTGGTTTTGTGATTTAGTATCATATGAAACATTAGACGTACTGTCTTGTTTAATTTCATAAACGCTAAAATTATTAATTCTTAGGTCATTTAAGTAGTTTGAAACTGTCAAAGTATTGGAACTGCAATGGGATAATATAAGCTGTATTATAGTGCTTATACGACCTCTCTGATGATGCTAGCAAACTTTGGCACGTTTATTCTCCTACATACTATTGTAAGACCATAATAAGACAGGCAGTTGCGGGGGATATACAGCTAATTGTTTCATACTAATCAACACATGTAAGACCTGTTTAATTTGAGGCAGATACCGGTACTTGGTTTCGGAGAGAGGTGGCATACCACAGAAAAATGGGGGGGGGGGGGGAAGTGCCTTGAGACAGTACTTTTGTAGTGGCAGGACCAGAAGAAATTTGCTCAAGGGAGACACCCGTTGACCAGAGTTAGTGTTTGTCCAATCAAGAAGAAATCCATTGTTTTGTTTTTTTTTAATTTTACACATTGAATAATTGGCCAACAAAAATCTGAGTCAACAGGTTAACGAACCTGAGTGTAATGCCTCGGTGATACAAGACAATATCAACACACTACAAGCTTGGCCACGTTGCACGTTACAAAAGCAAGAGATTTGAAAGTTTCATTAGAGCAGATGGGAAAATCAGATTATTCGACTGTTGTATCTGAACATCGAAATGCATCCATTGCAACGAATTATAGTTTGAGAGTACAGACTATTCTATGTTTTAACGCACACTGAAAATTATCGCCATATAGACAGATTGTCTTTAAAGGAGACATGAGATAGGAATAAAAATCCAAAACCTTCTCCTTGAGATATGTACACCAAAATCACTAATTGATAACTCTGGAAAAATCTATTCCGCTTTTAGACATAAAATATGGAAAATTTGTTACATATTTACTACGTTACGATGATAGTTCCCGTCGAGCTATATATCTGTATACAGACACTACATTATTATAAGGTGATCCGACCCAGAGAAGATGAGATTTGTCATTGTAACTCAGACTTCGAGGGCTGTTTATTCCTTGACTGGTCAGTAGTGACGATGACAGAAAGTAACCATCTTTGTCAATCATTTGTATTGTGCGCGTGTTAGCATCACAGATGAGTATCTGTACAGATTCCACTGGGATCGAGGTCTGATCCTTGGGGTGGTCCTGTGTAGGTGAAGCGATGTCTTCCTTTGCTGTCTGTCACCACTACAGCACCTTGGTTAAATCTGATTGATTCAGACACTATTACACGGCATTACGGTTTTCCGTGATATATATTGGGATTTTATACAATTCCTGACCCACGCTGTTATGTTGAATTGAATGGACATATTGGCCCGTACTATCGTATCGGATAACCATGGCTCTGTTATTCCATCTTTTCTCCACATTCCGACCAGCAGATCCCCTGTAGAGGTAGAGCAGTAGATACAGTTAGGCTTTGCAAAGCCAGATTTCTTTATCAGTAATGTCTTCGTAATATTGTCCCTGAATAATTTTATGATGTTATACTGCCGGTCTATGAAAATAAGTTCCCCATCTTTGGTCACCGAGTGCACCCCTACAACATTATTTATATCTGTTACATGACCTAGAGTGGCACCCGTTGTATCTGTCAAAACGAGATCTTTTATATCACTCACCCAGATCCGGTCTGACGTCACACAGGAAATATGACAACTATTACTGACATCTGCATTGATCTGACAGGGTTACAGATTTCTTCAACTCGGACGAAGACATAAGTTTAAGCAGATTCTCATTTTCTATTAACCGTTTCGTTTTCCTCTGAATTTCTCTTAATAACTGAATCAAGCCTCGTTTGTTAATCATCTCATTCAAGGAGAGGACAGGCAGTTTTGTAAGTCTTGGAGTGTCGTTTTTCTTGGCAACAGGGTTTTTCTTTATAAACACTACGAAGTTGACAAGACTGACAAAATGCATCATAAATCCTGCCTGAATGTCTTATACAATTCCCTTGTTCTAAAATACATCCAAATTTCTCACGGTAAATCACTATATCATTGTATAAAGTATCTAAATCAGTAACATATTTCTCCTTACATTGTACACATAAATCTTGCTTACACGTGTTGCAGTAAAATTCCGCATCCCTATCGCATTGGAAGCACTGTCTAACTCTACACTGCGTGCAGAATTCTTGTCTAGAAACCATTAATAATATCAATACACATCCACTGATACGCAGCTGAAGGTGAAAATAAGGCGGGCCACGAGTGAAAATGTAAAAATGTTCTGTAAAGGGCGTACGTTCCACTTGAAGCTTTTATTTATTACAAACCTACACGTACAGGTGTAGATTTAGGTTACAGGATTAACGAATAGTATTCAATATTAAAGTCCATAAAACAATACAAAATAGGAGCAGAGCAAATACGGACCACCAAAACATCTGAGATGAGATCAGGTGCCAAATGAGGAAAAAATACTGTAAGCAATTTACACAGCTTGCGACGGCAATGTTTACCAATTTATTAGGAAAATAATATATTTTCTTCTTCCTTAAATCCCAGGAGTGGGAAAAAAACGTCTGGTCCTCCATCTAACGCTCGTCTGACTGATCCCAGCACCTTATGCATTGAAATGACTTTACTTTTACAAAAACCTAACCCAAAATACAACTGAAACCGGAAAATCCGGAAACAACAAATCAACTATATTCATTATTTGAACACTCCGGCTACAACTGGACGCACACGCTGCAATAATCCACCTAAACACGTTATATGGCTAAACAATTTCGGTGCTATATCTCACCGAAATATTTGCCACTTGTATAAACCAATCGGAGTAAAACAGCAAACGTTGCACACCTCTGGCTGGTCATCCTACCTGACACTAAACACGATCTGACTGTATTGAATAAAGATCTAATTCGCCAGTTTTTGTCCTTACATGCCTGGAATAACGTTAACCTTATTGTTCATTTGTACTCCTGCAATCCAGGCTCCTACGGAGGAGTCTGGGGTTTTGGGACTTCATTGTCTTAAGCCACTGCAAAGCTAGTAAGGATATGGAGATAACGAACAGCATCCAATGTCGAAGTCCACAAAACAATACAAATTACGTTAAGAGCAAACACGGACCTCCAAAACATCAGAGGTGGGATCAAGTGCCATGGAGGAGTGAGCATCCCCTGCTGACCGGTCACACCAGCCGTGTGCTCCTTGTCATGATCGGGAAATAGCGGAAAAATCCGTCGTCAATTCAGTGTATAAATAATAGACTAACAATTAGTATGAAAAACGTCAGTCAGCAGTTGTCTCAATGATAAATTGTATTTGCTGACAAGGTCATTGTATCGACCATAGAATTTACGAAATGATGACTTTAATAATGCAGGCGATGAAGGTACATTGCTGCATAAGTAAGGGAATGTGACGATAGAAAAGTTAAAGTCATCACGTTTATCATATAGCTTGGTGGTTAGATTACCATTAACGTCTTTTTCAAGTTAAAATATCGAAGTATGAAACAGATGTGTCAGAGTCTGTAATATCTTTTATCTCAAGCTCACCAGGATATATCGTATCGATGTAGGAATGGAAATAACAATTGTTAATTGACAATACGTCGTCGATATATCTAAATGTCGAGTTGTATGCCACAGCAAGTGTTTTCTTTTCACGCACTAAATTTTGCACAAATTCTGCTTCATATGAATATAAAAATAGGTCTGCTAATAACGGAGTGCAATTGGTACCCATGGGAATTCCAATAGATTGTTGGAAGTAACGGAAGAGGATTGGTTGAACATTTACTGGAACCCACGATGTATCTTTGTTTGTACGGATTTTTATGAAGTTTCGGAATCTGGTATATATATGGTAGTTCAAATTCATTTTGGCTCTGAATTGTAACTTTCTGTTTGAAGACTTGGTCTCCAAAGACTACAAAGATATTCATTGTCAGTGATTGAGGAACTCTTTTTAATGCCTTTTAAACATTGTTTTTGTTTTGTGTAAAAAAAAAAATGTGTGGATCATCAATCTCAAGTATCTTACTGGACGTTGTCTTCTTGTTAACCAAGTTTGATTCACATGAAAATTAGACCAATAATAGAGAAGTATACACCTAACTAGAACATAGCTTAATGAGTAATGATAAAGACGGCTATATTTCCGCTAATTAATACTTTACGTTATAACAGAACTCTAACTAGGAACAAAATTTATTTCGTTTTAAAACTAGAAAATATTTCAAACATGAGCGCCTGAGGTGCCCAGATATGTTGTGAATTTATACAGGCTGTGTATTTGATACACCAATAACCATTATGCGCTCCGCGCCAAAATGAGACAATTTCATTCACTTGATTTAGAGGAAACATTATCAAATAATAAACATGTTTTACACTGACCAAAAGACACATAAAACTCCAGCCAAATCAGTCAAGGTGACAAAGCTGTGCTGAGTTTCACGTTCCAGGGTTAAAAATTTTCACACACTGTAAGGATAGTTTATCCCTCGATCCTTTTAAAATTTTTCTTCACCGATTCAGCTCTACTACTCTCAGTCTATTTCAAACGTTGCGCAAGTCTTTTACGAGTATTTCACATTTACATCTTTTCTTCACGAACAAGAGGAAGATTCACACCATTATAAGCATCGTGATTTACACCATTGTACACTTCTGATTTTATTTTTGGGTCGGGTTTGGTATCAGACAATATTCTGACCTTTGGCCCGATGACAGAGAGGAATGTCGGTAAAATGAGAACTGCATGAATAAGTCCAAACACAATCACCGTAAATAACACCTTGAAAAACGACTGGAAAATAAAACTCTGGGAGAAATTCAACATTACAAGGCCGATAATTGTTGACAGAGCTCCATTTATAACAGGACCGCCTGCCAACTCAAGTGCATCCTGAACACGCCCCTTTCGGTCACGTGACTGTGACGTTAAATATGCGTGACACAGATGCGCACTGAAATCCACGGAGAATCCTACAGATATGATGAGTTCGATCATTGTAACAGAGCTGATGTTGAGACCCCAGAACGGGAGAAATCCGAACACTCCCAGAAGAATAGACACGAGGGAGACAGACACGAAAATTATAATGAGAGGATGAGGCATGAAAAAACACGCGACTAAAAACATGGCGGCTACTGCCACACCAACTGTCTGTAGCGTGCTTCTCACCACGATGGCGTACTGTTCAAAGTAAACAAAGAGTGGTGAGTAGATGAAACACGGTAGCCCGGATGTTTGTTCAAGCTCTCTAATGCGGAGAAGAAATTGTCCCTGAACGTCACTGGTCCTTAAATTCTCCGAAAACAAGTAAAATCGTGAGTAGCTTATCTGTGAAAAGTTTGGAGAAAATATCACATCTCCCTTAAAAATTCTTGTGTCGTTTAGGAAATGTCTTAAAGACATAAATTTGTCTCCAAAAGTACCATTTCCCACAACTGTAATGTAAGTTGATAACCAGTTTATTTCAAGGTTATCTTTGATAAGAGGTTCCATTTTAAGTTTAATTAGGAAGTTAACAATTTGCTGGCGTTTTTCTTCGTTTTGATAATCAATTGGATCTTTGAATACAATTTGAAGGGGAATTTCCCATCGGAAATTCTCAAAATCCCATGTGCTAGCTTTGTAATAGTCAGAACTCTCCAAAGCTAAATCTGAAAATCTGAAGCCCTGCTTCAATGATGTAACTCCCCATACAGAGAGAGCAATGTATCCCAGGTATAGAATGAAAATAACCAGACGAGAGGCGGCGTGGCGAGCCAGGAACTGAACAAAACGTTTTGGGTAAATCTCGAGCAAACTTTCAACATCCGCTCGTGACGTAGGCTTCTCTCCAGAGCAGCACGTGACATAACACGCCGAGAAGCCCTCGCTTCTGAGCTGTGCCCGAGGTTTTGTGGATCTACACGTCACTGAATGCTTCGCAGCGTCCATCTTCTGCTGATGAATCACAATAGATGGCGCTAGGATAGTGAGCTGATTGACGTAGCAGAAGAAAACGGCAAGACCTGAAAAAATTAGTTTTATTACTATAGATAATATATTCAAAATCGAAGAAATCTCATTCTTGATGAAGAAAGACGTAATATTGCGTGGATTTTGGACTTAAAAGATAGCCATCCAATAACATGGATAGCATTTGTGAGTCGCTTTAAAATGAAGAGAAATTTAAATTATGTATGCTTGCCTGTATAGATGCAGAAGTTTTGGATGGTGACAAACAGAGACGTGTAGCCAATGAAGAAGGTTATTAAATCCGTGAGAGAGGTGACTGTAATAGCCAGTCCACTGGTCCGCAGGGTGTGTTCCATTCTCTCCTCTAATGACATCTCCTGACCTATAGTCTGCGCATGCCCAGATACGATGATAAACATATCGTTGATTCCAATGCCTGAAAAACATCAAAAAACATAAAATAATTGTAATATTTGTACAAGTAATATCAAGTTAGAACTTGGAGAAATAATATTTCATTCAGGTTCCTATAGAAACTGATTCGCGTTAGTTTTTAATAAACAAAAATTTTGACTGATTCACTTTTCGCAAACTGATTTCGAACTTCTTAAAAATTAATATTTTGAGAATGAGAAATATCCTGAGTAGAAAAATAAACAAGTACGTCATGACTTGCCTATGATCAAAAACGGCATAACTCCAACAGAATTCATAAACTTCATCCCACAGGCGCTGGCTATTCCCGCCGCAGGAATCATAGAGAGAATCGCACAAAAGACGCCGACGCGTCCCAAATTCTGTCGGTCGTAAACACAGTCAATGCGTCTTCCGGCAGTTGTTATGGACGCATAGACCACCATGAGCCCTACTGTGATCATGAACAAATGGGCCTCAGCCATGGAGCTTTGGGTTACCTCATCATCCAAAGCATTGTGATAGGTATAGGCCAGTTCTGTGTAATTTGTTTGAATATTCTGTATGAAAGTCACAAATTCTTTGATCCACCTCTCTGATAGATGACCCTGATCTATTGGATACTTCTGGAGGTAGTATCGTAGTTTTAGCATTCCTGCTGAAACAAAACGGTCATCTTCGGTTTCCACCTTTCCCAACATGGCGGACAACAAAACTGTTTCCTTGTACACAGGGTATGTCACGCTTTTATTTTGCAAATGTCTGATAAAGTCTGCAGAGAGAAGTTCCTCTCCGAATATAACACATTTATTATTGTTCTTTGCACAGAGAGATTCATAGGACGAATTGTTGTTTGACTGGTCTACAGTCACTATGTTCTTTGTAATAAGGTTGTGGATTTTCTGCACCTCGCGATATGCGTTATTATCGAATACATTCCTTCCATCCTTAGAGCGAATTATAACTTCTGCGAAATAACCGACATCAGCCAAAGAATGGATTTGAAAGTTTTCACGACTAGATGATTCGAACACGTTCCTAACAATGTCGCGATCTTGAGAAGCCTGGTTATTTTCTGGAAGGTATTGCGTCTCCAGATCGTTTTCAAACTTCAGTCGAAGAAGGCCGATCCCGAGAAGAAGGTTTAAAATGATGGAGCAGATGATAAAGATCCATGGATGTCGCGCAATCAGTCGACCGTAACGTCCAAATAAACGGGCGATCTTCCGGTCATGCGCAGTATAGCATCGAGAAAAACACATGGACGACATGGTGAAGATGAGAATCTGTAAGAGAAAAGAAAAAATTATATTGATACGTACATGCACAGTTTACATGTGTTGACAATTTTATAAAACCTCATATTTATATCAGAATCTAACACAGAAATCCTATGTTTCACAATTTTTATGTTTTTATTATTCCTACAAAAAATTATTGACGCCCGCTTTTTCAATACCAAAGGAACGCGTAAATTTAATAACCTTGTCATTGGTCTTCTGCAAAATTATTTTGTAAAAACATTCTGATTGAACACACAAGTACTCTGAAGGTGAAATTAAAAAGATGTTCGAGTTTCTGATTGACAATATCTATGTTGTTTTCGGAGACCAGTTCTTCACCCATCTATTGAAATTCCCATGGGTACCAATTGCGCCCTGTTATTAGCAGACATATTTGTATTTATAAGAGGCAGAATTTGTCCAAAATATTTTATGTGAAAAGATGAAAACTTGCCGTGGCCTTCGTCTCGACATTTAGTTATACAAGGTATATTGTCAATTAACAATTGTACATTATTTCCATTCTCTTATCTATACGATATATCCCGATGAGATTGAAATAAAAGCTATCACAAATTAAGTCTGATGCAACTGTATTTTACTAGAATACATTAGTGGAATACAATAGAATACAATAGGTTGATGGTAATCAAACAACAAAACTTTATAATAAATGAAATCGTAGGTAACTTTAACTTTTCAATCGTCAACGTTCCTTACTTGTGCAGCAATATACCTTTACATGCATACGGGTTTTATATCCCTCAGTTGATTCGATACACAAGAGCATGCCCTATATGTATATGAACAATTTCTAACAAGAGGTAAGTTATTGACAAACACGTTGATGAAACAAGAATATCAGCAGTCTCGTTTAAAGTCATCATTCGTAAGATCTAATGGTCAATGCAAACACCTTTTCAGCAAATAATCAAATGCTGATTGACATTTTTCATACTTATTGTTATAGGCCATTATTTACACACTGAGTTGTCCATGGATTTTTTCTTCATTTCTTGGTTATGACAAGGAGCACAAAGCGAGTGTGACCAATCGGCAAGGGAAGCTTACTCCTCCATGACACCTGATCCTACTACTGATGTTTAGAGGTCGATCGGTGTTTGCTCTGTTTCAAAATTTGTATTGTTTTATATAATGGACTTTTAAGCATGAATATTATTCGTTATCTCCAAATATTTCCTACAATCCCGAGATCCCTATCCGTAAAGGAATGCTTACATGTCATCTCTGAACAACAACCATGCCATACAGCAAGACCAGCTATTTGTACATCAGAATGAGACTTTGTATAATTTAACTGGTTTCTTCGAAATTTCGGAGAATAGGCGTCGGAACCGGGGAGTGCTAGCGGGGGGGGGGGGGGGGGGGGGGGGCTCGATTATACGTATTGATAATCATAAAATACATTGGGTAAATACTAATGATTTTATACGATAAGTATGTTCATATACTTCATTTTAGTTTTCGAAACCCTGAACACACATGCTGAAGTAAATGTTATATTATTTTTTTTTAAATGGAAAAGTTACATACATTATCTACCCCCCCCCCCCCCTCCCAATTTAATAATTAGTTCTGGTTTTATAATGTCTGACCAGACCGCGGAATTAGATCAAGCTGACCATTTTCTGGCGGTGTTGAATAACATGATATAATCGCCTAGACAAAGGGAGATTTAAAGATAAAGAAGGAATGTACTCATGCATGGGGCATATGTCAAATATGTAGCTATTTTCAGCGATCTGCATCCAGTATGTATATACATGTGAAGACAATGCGTAAAAGAATACATATCTAAGTTACATATGAAGTTTGTTGATTTTTTTAAATACAGTACTTTACACAAAATTGATTGATCTGACATGCCTCACATTTAATCTATGACAACATTTACATAAACACACAAGTCTGTATTTTACACCTGTATAGATCATGTACATGTTATGGGTAATCTAATCAGATCAACACACTACATTTTACAGGGGATTATCGGGACAGGGTTAACATTGTTAACATATAGTTATTGAACTTTATGAAAAAAAATTAAGGATAAAAAACTAAAACTTGCCTGCCTGCCAAGAAATCACATCCTTAATATCGTGAAACCCCTCTGTACTTCCTTTGTGGAAGCTTTCGGTTCGTCGTCCGGCAATGTTCGATGTAGCCTTAACCCCGGATCACCCCCGCCGATAAGAAAGCGTCTCAATGTTTATTTTTGCGATATTCAAACACCATTACCGCATGTCGGGTAATAGAGCCCCTAGGTTATAATAGACGGCACCCCGACGCCCGTGACGAGTAATTTGTGACAAAGCCGCGTCACCCTTCGTCAAAAATCAGTATTCATCTGGAAAATTAAATATGCATTACTGGTGTTGTGTAATGGTGCATAAATAATCGTTATACCTATACGAGGGAAAAGATAAAATACACGGGAGAAAAACACATATACATGTAGTACATACACGCGTGTATAAAATACTTCCTGTGATTTTTAGATTTTTGAACATTTCATATTTCACCATATAATTTTTTTTTAAAAAAATTGTAGAGATATGTCAATAAAATATGAAGTGCCTAATTTTCAAACAAAAAATGTGTAGATTGCACACCAAAAATCAGCTCAGTATTTGCAAGCTATAGTGTTAAAAAACAGAAAGGCTGTAGAAAAATTTTGAAACTGTCAAATGTTTTAAGTCGGAAAATAGCTCCCATTTTATTAAAAAACATTTTAATTTGCTCTTTATACCGAAAAATAGTCTAGTTTGCTTCTTTTGAATAATCCTTCAACAGCACTTACTCGAAAATCATACAGTTACTTCTGTGAAATTGTTCTTTTAAGTTTTAATTAGCACGGAACAATGATGGACGCCTTTGGGTGTTCATGCAGCAAATGTTTATTCTTTTATTGAAAAAAAAAAATCCCGATACGAGTGTTTAAAAAGTTAGCAACAGCAGTACCACCCCTCCCTCCTCCGCAAAACTATTTACTTCTGTAAAATGAAAAAAAATCAAATCCAGACCTACCGTGCTGCAGTATATTCCGAAACCTATGTAAATCAAACTCTGATTCTGAAAAAATCAAGGGATTTTTTTTAATTGTAATAGTTGTTTTTTAATTTCCTCCAAAGTAAATAGCATAAAAAATTGTGATTTTTCAAACTCTATGAAACCCCTCCTCGAGATACATGTACATAGGATATCAGTATTATTCTCATCGGTAGGTAACAGCCCAATTACAATTGTCTTTAGAGGTAACGTATTCAAATAGTCTAGAATTTCCATGTGAACACATTTTGCACCTTCATTGACGAGCTGTCTTTATGAAAAATTCTAACAAAGTGGAATATCTTTTCAAAACTTGTACATGAAAATTGGCACATTTGATTAAATCGATCGTTCTATTCGGAATTTTTCATTCACATACATGCATGTACTTGAAGTCACCCATATTGCTGTACTTGACGTCACCTACTTGTTTGAGAACGGAAAACACTAAATATCTTAGCAGATCGGTACCACAGGCACCTGACGTTACTTATTTTTCTTTTGATTAAAAAAAAATATATATACACATACCTAATAATGAAAGTTTATTATTAGGTATGTGTATATTTTTTTATTAAAAGAAAAATAAGTAACGTCAGGTGCCTGTGATCGGTACAGAGGTTTCATGAAAGGTGTGACTAGTCGACAGAGGTGTTACTCCTCTTCGTTAGAGGACCATGCACTACTGGTGTCTCCATGCCGCGGTTTTTCATTAATTTTGTCATTCTTTCGACTTGATTGAAAAATTAATATTGGATCACTGTTTGTAATCTTCACCACTCTACCCCCTCCCCCCAAATTTTTGCATGAATTTAAATGATTCTATATAGAAATTCCAACAGGTGTAATCAAATGAAAGGAGGAGGGGACTTTCCCGAGTATCATTTCATGAAACATCTGTACCGATCTGCTAAGATAAAAGTGCTTTCCGTTGTCAAATAGCATGAATAACTGTATCTATTGATCTTACATCCATTACAGCCCTATACAGGGACGTAGCATCCGGGGGGGCCAGGGGGGGCCTGGCCCCCCCACTTTTTTCCCCAACATAACCTTTACTATAGTAAATGTTCATTGACAGGATGTGTGGCCCCTCCACTTGAAAACCATAGTATAGTGATAGCAAAGATTGTAAGAAAAAAATTGGAAGTGAAAGTAAGTTGGCTTTAAAAAAGTTGGCCACATTTCCCCGACTTTTAATTTAGTGCATGCACATTAATAAAATATGGCGAAAGAGTATGCTCATTGAACTCTTTTACTTAGACTTTGTATACTACATGTTTACGTATATGTACAGATGGATCAGGGACGTAGCATCCGGGGGGGGGGGGCAGGGGGGGGGGGCCTGGCCCCCCCACTTTTTTCCCCAACATAACCTTTACTATAGTAAATGTTCATTGACAGGATGGGTGGCCCCTCCACTTGAAAACCATAGTAAAGTGATAGCAAAGATTGTAAGAAAAAAATTGGAAGTGAAAGTAAGTTGGCTTTAAAAAAGTTGGCCACTACCCCCCCCCCCCTCCCCCGCGAAATAGGATTTTCGAGTTTGGGCAACTTAAAATTTTCTTTTTTTTTTTTTTTTTTGCTTGTCAACTTTTTCAGGTAAGTAAAAAAAAATTTTCTCAGGTTGGCCCCCCCACTTTCAAAAACGATGCTACGTGCCTGCTATACTAGCTACGGTCGTAAATGTCACCTAACGTAAAATTACAAAACTATGACTTATTATACCCCCCGCTTGAAAAGTGGGAGGGTATATAGTAATCGGTATTTCCGTCCGTCTGTCCGTCCGTCCGTCCGTCTGTACGTCCGTCCGTCCGTCTGTTACGCTTTGGGGTAACCATCTCTTATCCGCAACTCCTCTCATACCACTGAAGGAAATTTAATGAAACTTTCACAGAATCTTTATTACATATTGCCATTGTGCACCTCCTATTTTACTTTTTGATCTGACATATATTTTTGATTTTCCAGAGCAAAACATGGACACTGCCATTATATTCATATGGGAGGCGGGGGGTATCATTTAGTGAGCTCATTGCTCACAGTACCTCTAGTTTGCATACTCATTTCACTAACAGCTAGCTCCCTGTTTGATAACTCTTGTTAATTTCTGATATTGAATGCTTTCACAAGAATTAATGAAATTATGAGAGTATTTTTAAATATTAATTCATGTTCTTTGTATAGTGTTATCACTTACCTTAATCCGGATTTGTAACATTTTCCGCATCCGTTTTTATATTTAGTTCATGTCTTAATGTTTCCGGTTTTGATTTTTCAGAAGACAAAAAATACTTTGGCACTGACTGACTGATTGAGCACCCCTCCCATGATTCCTCCTTCTTCTTTGTAGCGTAATTAATTTTTGGGTGTAGTTTAGACTTTTTTAAATTCATCTAATGACATGGGACAGGCGGCGTCTAGACAGGAAGCGTTCTGGGAAGCCTGTGGTTTTGGTCACACAGACAGAGTGAGGAAATTCCTGGAGGAGGGAGATATCGACGTCAACTGGGTGTCCTACACTGTAAGTCACAGATCAATAGAGCATTTAATTTTAAAGAAATGTTTTGAATTTTGTTATTTTACACCTCACACTTTTTTTGGTAAGTTAATTAGTATGCAGCACTTTTTGTTTCTCTATTGTGTTCACGTAGAATTCATTTACTCAATACAGCATTGAACAGATTTTAGCATGTGTTATGGAATATTTACTGCATAATAGAATTAATTGAACAGAATCTTTGCTTCATCTCTTTCATCACCTGTTGTAATCCAAGATTCGTCTGCTGTCACTCTTACCACAGCTTTTGTGTTGTGACATATACAGGGGATTATCTCAGCGAGATGTGGTAGGGACTAAAAGTTTTGGTCTGGTGCAGATTAATGTCACACAAAGTGATTAGGGCTTTTTTGCCCCAACTTCGACCGCTTGTTTCAATCAATATGAGGGCTGAAATGAATTAGCTGCCTGCCTCAACTTTTTCCTTTGGACCTCCCTTTAAGTATCACTATAAAACATTCCATTACGTTTAAATCCAACAAAATATAAAGTTGTTCAATGTTGATTTTTTATTTGAAGTATCCCATTTATTTTAACCTCCGATGCTGAAGAGTTCCGCATTAGTCTGCTTTGAATACTTCGTTCTACGACTATTTTCTATAGGGAATGAACTATTGTACGAAGCCCTGATCACTTTGTGTGAGATGTCGAGTTATAGCAGACCAAAAATTTTTTTTTACCTACGACATCTCACTGAGATTGGTACAGGGAGAGTCAAATAGCACAATTATACTATAGCTGTATTGAAAAATGGAAATTCGGCTGATATTACAACTCTGCCACTCTCTGTTGCAACTTTTATTTCTCAGATCTAACTTCAGAATAATTCTTTAATCATCACTTATATGATGCAATTGCAATTAATGCATTTTTTTAATTGTGAAAAGTGGCATTCAAGTTTAAGAGTGAAAGTTCTAGTTGTCTCTAAATTCTGTAGTTTGCAAGTAAAATTTTTCAGTGACATTAATTTCTTGAAAGCTGTTTAAATTATTGTTTTAGCATGATTGCTGTCCAATTCATGTGGCCTCTCAGGGAAAGCCTGATATTGTAAGAATGCTTCTGGAGAAAGGGGCAAAGGTCAATGTCAAGGATGTGGTAAGTTACCATGGTTACCCAGTCAAATTTTGATCAAACCTTTTGATATTAATCTTCTCTATAATGATAATTAACAAAAGCAGAACAAGATCAGGACAATAAGTTTGTACTAAAGAGTGATATATTCAATTCACAGAGGGATAATCTTCCAATTCACCATGCGGCCATGAAAGGTCATACAGAGGTCGTACAGATATTGATAGATGCTGGATCAGAAATCAACACACAAGACAAGGTCAGTGTTTTTTTTTCCACAGACAAATAATTATTTAAACTGAAAGCAAGATATTCTACATAGATGCACTGAAATTGTCAACATTTTAAAAAGGGAGTTCTTTAAAAAAAAAAAAAAACCAACATCCAAAGGGACATTTGAGAGTCTACTTAAACATGACTTTTGGCTCTTTGAAGAATTGTGTCCGATCAAAACTGTAGCATGGTTTTTGTACCTGTAATAAATAGTTACTATTTAACTGGAAATGAGAAGACTGTGATTTCAGAATGGCTGGACGGCTCTACATTGTGCTGCTTTATGATTTCAGAATGGCTGGACTGCTCTACATTGTGCTGCTTACTGGAACAAGCCTGATGTCGTCAAATGTCTACTGAAGAATGGAGCAGATGTCAACATTGAGAATAAGGTCAGCCAAGTGTTTGTACTAATGTAACAGAAAGGTCAGCCAAGTGTTTGTACTAATGTGAACTGTGTAATTTTCTTCTATGTCTCTTGAGAGAGAAATGTCAATAAGTGTCAGACCTGAAGAAGATTAATTATATATATGTTAACCTAGCCATATAATTTGTGAAGGATAAAAGATCAGCCCTCCATGAAACAGCTCGTTCACAGGAGAAGGGCGACTTTGAGCTTGGAGAAATCGCACAGAGACTTATGGAGGCAGGAAGTGACGTCAACGCTAAAAGCAGTGACCTTGGAGAGGTCAGATTCTGAATATTCAAGTGTTCTTTATTAAACATGTACATGTATGAAAATATTTGCTTTATCTTTGTACAAAGCGTTTCACTGTTCTAAAAGACCCAACTTTAATTTTACAGGCAGATTTCACTGGTCTGATGTTTGCCAGTTATCATAACCACCCAGAAGTTGCCAGCGCTCTTATCAGTGCTGGGTGTGAAATCAATGCATTTGGAACAGTGAGTTTAACCAAATTTTAGGAGAAAAAATACAGATTAAATTAATTCTGCATGACTTCTGTATTTTTTCTCAAATTATAAACTAAGTAAACAATTATTTCTAACAGTTCATGTAAAACAGGATGAACCTCGCCTTTGTATACTGTAAAATCAAATGTTTTCGTGGGGTCAAATTTTCCAGGTTCGAGAAAGAAATTTTTTGTTTGTGGAGATTTGATTTCATGGTTTTAGAAGTGTTGAGTAGTAATGCATATAGAATTTTTACATTTTGTGGTGGTCAAGAATTTGAGGGTCTCTCATTACCTCAAAAACAATGAAAATTAAACCCCCACAAAAATTGATTTCACAGTAAATACTTGTAAAATATTGACTCCTTCTCCGCTGTTTGTAGAATCGCTGGACTGCTTTACACTGGGCCTGTGACAGAGGTAATGATGAGATGGTATTCCTTCTATTGGAGGCAGGCATTGACCCTACCATCAGGGGCTGGGTAAGAGTAATTACTGATTCCGTAGAGTCAAGTCTACTAGAGGCAGGCATTGACCCCACCATCAGGGGCTGGGTAAGAGTAATTACTGATTCCGTAGAGTCAAGTCTACCAGAGGCAGGCATTGACCCCACCATCAGGGGCTGGGTAAGAGTAATTACTGATTTTGTAGATTCAAATCTCATACTGGAGGCTGAAATTTGATCCTACCATAATGAGATGGGTGAGATAACTTTAATGAAAAATCATGGGATACTGGTGCCATAAAATATAATTGTGCTGTTGATTTAACTGAATGTGTTTTTTTTTAATAGAAAGAGTCAGTCACACATATAGCTTAACACACACCTTTTGATGTGTAAAAATATTAGGGAAGGTTTTTTTTCCTTAAAACTACGTAATTTATTAATAAAACATAACTTGGTGAACGTTTCTGAAGCACTTTTTTTTTCTAACCACAGAGAAACGAGCTCGCCTCAGACCGTTGTCAAGACAATGGGATAAAGGAAATGGTGATGAATGCTGTAAACATGTTTGACGAGTTGTCTCTCTTAGATCGCAAGGTTTGTATTCAGAAGCTTTTGAGGGACAGTCTTTATGTTGTTTTTTAACAGACTTAAATACGAGGGTCATTCAAAAAGTTCGTAGACTTTTGTCCTAACTTTTTCATTTAACGTCATATTATATCCAAAGGACTATATGCGGTATATTGCATATGTTTGCCCCCACAAAAGTCAAATTTTGAAAACTTCCTGAAATGTGCTGAATTCAATAAATTGTACGAGAAATATAAGTTAACAGAAAATATTATAGTTCCAGAGCAGTGTATTCACAATTTCTGTTTTTATGACGTCACAAACTAGTCCGATTTTATATCCTTTTTCAGAAAGAGGACAAAATGGACAAAATTTCAACAATTTAAGCTTTAGAATTTATAGAGCGCATGTGTGTTCAGGAACAATATTGACATATTTCATTGATATTATCATTCTACACGTTATATCAAAATATTAATCCTGAACACACATGCGCTCGGTGACTTTCATTTAAAATATCGACGAAATATGTACATTTTTCTGCAAAATTCATAAAAAACTGAAATTTACGTCATATTTGTGACGTCATTACGTACATATGACGTCATTACTTATGAAATTATTCAGTGCTTTGAAGTCAGCATATACTCCCCTGTTTAAGGACTTAATTAAATATTACTCCATCAAAGTTTGATTTTGGGGGGCAAATGTTGGTTAATACTGCATATACATGTAGTTCTTTGGTACAAATATTTTAACAACAGATTCAAATAATTTGAGTAAAAAAATTTGTATGTATCTTCATATTTATTAAAATTACCAAGGATTTAGAATAGCAAAAATGGGGTCACGGAGCATCGTCAAAATTGAGTAATTTACTAATTTTCACTTTAGAGTATTTACAGCCATACCTCTAATAAATGGCACTGAAACGAAATAAAATTTACCTTTTTAAATAAAGTATTGCTGTATTAATTAAAATGAAATCAGGTTATGTAATATGTTGCTTCATTTAAAAGATATAAGTTTCTAAATACATACGAACTTGATTAAAAATGGCAAAAAACCATGACGTTTGAGGATGTCACGGAGCAGCAAGTAGCAATAAAACTGTACTTTACATTCGGGAAACCTCTTCTACAACCTCAAAAAATCCGTATAAACCAGGATCTGTATGAAAAATAATCTGTGTATTTGTATTAAATGGAAAATACAATTTTTGAGTGGTAGCGAGTTTGAATCGGACAATGGATTGTCTGCAAAGAAACAGGTTAAAGTTACAATGATTGTCAAATGCTTTAAGAACGTCATTGAACGTGATGTGTGCTTCACTGTTGCAGAATTAATAGAGTTACGTGGTAAATTAAAGAATTTGAAAACAATGACATTCTAATTCAAGCTATATTTGTACAATTGTTGGCAAACTGTGTGTGTTAACTGTGTGTTAAGTGTTATGGATATGTTTTTTTTGAATGGAGAAGAAGCAACATACCGTGTTTGAAATTAAGAAATTGGTATAAAACTTGATAAACTTTCTCAACGTTGTTTTTGAGTTACAATGTTGGTTAGCCGTGCTCCGTGGTAACATAACATGTTGCTTTAAATTTTGGCTAACATGCGTTCTATTTAATCAAATGGAATGAAACTTCACACTAAGACAAAATAAATGATTATGTTTACTAAAATGTGTTGAACTATAATCTTGTAGTAATCATATGATGATGAGAAGCATTGTCTACGTATTTTTTGAATGACCCTCGTATTATGCATTTTTTTATATATCAAAAAAGTTATTAAATTATAGGTAAACTGCTTGACCATTAAAGATTTCGCTTTTTAGCTCTACTGGTCAGAGACCAGAAGAGCTTATGCGATAGTAATGCGTCCGGCGTCCGTCCGTCTGTCTGTCTGTCTGTCTGTCTGTCCGTCTGTCTGTCCGTCTGTCTGTAAACAATTTTTCAAAACGCTACTCCTCCTACAATTTTAGTCTGATTTCAATATAACTTGGAACACAAGTAGACTACACTAAGATACATAGAATAGTGCATCGGTTTTTAATTTCGATGAACGGTGTTGCCATGGTTACTAAAAATAGAATTTTCTGTGAAATTCCTTTAAAACGCTACTCCTTCTACAGTTTTGGTCTGATTTCAATATAACTTGGCACACAAGTAGACTACACTAAGATACATAGAATAGTGCATCGGTTTTTGATTTCGATGAACGGTGTTGCCATGGTTACTAAAAATAGAATTTTCTGTGAAATTCCTTAAAAACGCTACTCCTTCTACAGTTTTGGTCTGATTTCAATATAACTTGGCACACAAGTAGGCTACACTAAGATACATAGAATAGTGCATCAGTTTTTAATTTCGTTGAACGGTGTTGCCATGGTTACTATAAATAGAATTTTCTGTGAAATTCCTTAAAAACGCTACTCCTTCTACAGTTTTGGTCTGATTTCAATATAACTTGGCACACAAGTATACTACACTAAGATACATAGAATAGTGCATCGGTTTTTAATTTCAATGAACGGTGTTACCATGGTTACTAAAAATAGAATTTTCTGTGAAATTCCTTAAAAACGCTACTCCTTCTACAGTTTTGGTCTGATTTCAATATAACTTGGCACACAAGTAGGCTACACTAAGATACATAGAATAGTGCATCAGTTTTTAATTTCGTTGAACGGTGTTGCCATGGTTACTATAAATAGAATTTTCTGTGAAATTCCTTAAAAACGCTACTCCTTCTACAGTTTTGGTCTGATTTCAATATAACTTGGCACACAAGTAGACTACACTAAGATACATAGAATAGTGCATCGGTTTTTAATTTCAATGAACGGTGTTACCATGGTTACTAAAAATAGAATTTTCTGTGAAATTCCTTAAAAACGCTACTCCTTCTACAGTTTTGGTCTGATTTCAATATAAATGGCACACAAGTAGACTACACTAAGATACATAGAAAAGTGCATCGGTTTTTAATTTCGATGAACGATGTTGCCATGGTTACTAAAAATAGAATTTTCTGTGAAATTCTTTAAAAACGCTACTCCTTCTACAGTTTTGGTCTGATTTCAATATAACTTGGCACACAAGTAGACTACACTAAGATACATAGAATAGTGCATCGGTTTCTGATTTCGATGAACGGTGTTACCATGGTTACTAAAAATAGAATTTTCTGTGAAATTCCGTAAAAACGCTACTCCTTCTACAGTTCTAGTTTGATTTCAAAATAAGTTGGCACACAAGTAGACTACACAAAGATACATAAAATAGTGCAATGGTTTTTGATAAGTACATACCAGTAGAGCTACAGTCTCGACAGAGACTTCTGGTTCTTTTATTCCTTAATTTTTGATTACAGGTTTCCCTTGGTGACAAAAGTGAAGATGTTTCCAAAACAAGTATGGAAACCAGCCAAGAGAAACAAAGCACTGGTAATATCTCAACAGAGAGAGCTGTAGGACGGGGTGCCAGTCAAAAAGCTCTTAAAAATGACACAGCTAATAAATCATGCAATATATCTCCTGATTCAGAAAGCAAGGACACAGTTACAGACAATGTCAAGTTAAAAGGCAACCCACAGTCAGAAGATAAAGATACAGTTATCATTAAATCTGAAAGTGAAACGTGTGTGAAGCAGCTGGAGGGAGTTAGCTCCCCTGGAGAGGATGACAGTGAACAGGAAAAGATGGATGAAGTTAAACAGATAGAGACACAGACTACCTGTGACAAAAGTCCAGAAGATACCAGCTGATGGGTAGCTAATACAATGTTATTGTCAGGCTCAATCTGTGTGTGTCAGGCTCAATTATCTCATTTCTACAACCCTGTGTGGTCAACACAACCCCTGTGTGGTCAACACAGCCCTTTGGTGCCATTTGTCGCAGAAAAAAACCCTCTCATTTTAATTACCTGTATATGACTAATTGACGTTGTCCAAGAAAATGTTAACTGTCCTTGTATTAATCTTTTGCTCTTTCTTCAATAAGGCTTCCATCTATTCAGTAAGGCTTTGGTATTTATCAGCCTTATAATTTAAGCTGTATGGTGTGCAAGTGTCAAGTATTATTAGTTACATAGTCTTTTAGTGACAGGGTATGGGATGATACCTAGCTGGTTAGTAAATTTCATACCTGGCGAGGCAGAGCCGAGTCAGGTATGAAATTTACTAACCAGGTATCATCCCATACCCTGTCACTAAAAGACTATGTAACGAATTTACCCCACCAATGAAATATTTATGTTTTATCTGTAGTTTATAAATGGTTTTCTCTGCTAAATGCTTCATCACGCTTATACTGTGCCTATTATGACGTCACGTTTGTGTTTGTGACGTAATGCATCGACCGGGTATTGATTTACAACTGACCGGGTATAAGTAATCCACTGCCTTCACGTGACAGACTTCAACCAATCGTAAGCCAGGATTTCCCGGAAAAATCGACAGAGGTGGGGTAATTTTTTATTCATGGATATTATTGACTAGGTATGTTTATTATTCTTGTACTTACCTTGTGCTTAAAGAAATACTACTTTGCTTATGAACAACAATTCATGAATATTCATAAAGATCTTTTGAGAAAGATCCCGCGGTGAGACAAAATTTGTTCATGTTTACTAAGTAGAGTTTTTACTCCATACCATCAAGAATTTTTTTCATCAAAAAATGATTGAGTCTGTTTGATTGCCTCTCTTCTGGTTTCCTGATTTGGTCAAATTAACCAGTTTTCCATTACATAATAATATGCACTCATAAAATCTCATGAATACTATTGAAGCGTTACTGTACATCGTGTGCATGCATTATCACCATTTAATCAAGTGTGAAATTTTGGAAAGAGAGAACTTTTTACAATGTAAATGAATAATGGGTGGTAAATCATAATTTTCTGAAAAAAAATGGATCAGCTTTAAGCCTTTTTTTTTAATTCATCTGGTTAATATTACTTTCTACATAATTTATATAAAACTTTTTATGTAAAATCTCTTAAATTACTGTATTCTGTGGCTACATATAGTTTTTGAAACATAGAAATACATGCAACTTTTTTCTGTCTGTCAACATTGTGATATCAACCGATTCATACTTTTTGTTATCTCAACACAAAATTATTTTTAGTGTAATTTTTATAAAAAGTTAGTTGATTGAATACTGTTTAAACAAAATACATATTATGTAAGGGAAAATAACTCAAATTTCTTTTCCCACTTGTGAAAACAAAAACATTTGCATGTTGATGATAATTTTGTGAACACATTTGAATATGGAGTTATTTCTCCTTTTCTAAATGATCAATTCTGTAATGTTTGACCTGATGCGATGGTCGGTCCTGAGAAATATGGACTAATTTTTATGGACAAGGAGCATATTTATTGAAGATTCTTTGACATTTAAAAGAGCAATTTATTCTGTTAAGTATTTTATAAGATATGACTTAGTACTTGTATTTTGTGCAATATTAAAAGACTTCCCATTAAGGTATTGCTATTTCTTTTAATTATTAAAAACAATGCAAAGACTCTGTTTCATTAACTATTCAACGTAATATGTCACCCAATGGTGCAGTGGTTAGAGTGCCTGCTCTAGAGTTATGGAGTAAGGACTTCTTCCTTAAATCGCAGGGTCGAATCCCACGGTGGGACGTGGAGACAGGTCTTTCAGGAGAGAGCATATAAACCAAGGTCCCGTGTCTCAGTAGGTGCTGGCACGAAAAAGATCCTTCACTACTCAATGGCCCTGAGTGACGAGTATAGATCTGTATAATGTGCAGCCCCTCATCAAAAAAATCTCGATTGAGACATTAAACTTTAATGAGTGATTAAACATCAAACAATTTAACAGAATAAGATTAGTTACCAACACCTCCTACAGATATTTTATAAATCTGGTCAAAGGTTAAGATGCTTTAAAGTACTTTAATCTTTTTTTTTTTTAATGAAAAATGTCTTTCTCTACATAGATATTAAAAAGATCAAATAATAGAGAAAAGGTCTAAACTATAGACATGGTAGTGTTGAACAGTTCATGATAAATTTTGAATTTGGTACTTTCAAACCTAAACATAAGTCCTCAAGAATTTTGTCATTTATTCAAAATAAAATGGATTATACATTTTTGTACATAAAAAAAATGGTAGTAAAATATTCAAAAAATGTCAAGGATCTAGAAGTAAACAAAATTTAAATTTAATACAAGTTACAGAATTACCGTATAAAAAAAAATGACAAATACACACTTCATTGTTCTAGTTAGGATTTAAAATATATTGCCTAAAATCTAAATATGGAATACATCCATAAAATTAATGTTTTAAATAGAGCAAAAATATTTTAAAAATCCATTTCATCACAATATTTTTCTTTAAGAAATGAGTAAAATTGGCCCTTCTATCTCTGAATCAGCACTTCCATATATTAAAAATATTTTGTATGGCAATATATAATGTATATATACATTTTCTAAAAATGTTAAATTAAAATGACATTAAACATGTTATAAAACAAAATAGTTATCCTAAATAGAAATATTAATTTTATATGTACCGGGTACATTCTTATACATTGTAGTTGATCAATGTTTACAACACTTGTTAAAGTATACAATCATTTTTACACTCCTGTATATGTATCATGTACAATGTACAGAAAATTCATACATGTGTATTAATGTAATTTACATTCGAACAAATGTACAGTATTTAATACATTAACTTTGTACAATATACAGTATTGTAAATTCATTCATTTATAAACTTAACAACATATTAATTTACAGTCAAACAAATGTACAGTATTTAATTTACAATTGCAAAAACATATTTTAAAGCAATGTCTAACAACAAATCTTCAATTTCTGCATCAATTCTGCCAACACCACAACAATATGTACACATATATGTACAAATAAAGGTAAATGTTATTCATCAATCTCTTTGTCATATGATAACACCATTACTTTTTCAAACTTCCCCCCAACCCAGATTCGACTGCTGGAGTCGAGGCCCATACAGAGAGGGTACCTCAGGCCCCCCTCGTACGAAGCAATGACCTTGAAAAGGTCGTAATTGGGCTGGAATATAATTATTTTATTATTCGTGTAATCACAAACCAACAAACGATGTCTGTAATCACACGCCACGTCCCGCGGGTCAAAGTGACGTTCAAAAATATCCCTGTGTCCGTCAAACGTCTTAATAACAACACCATCCTTGTTGAAAAATTGTAAGCGACCTTCGTTTTTTAGGATTTTATCCACCACAATAATGTCCCCATTTCTATTTTCAGTCACTCGACGCGGTACAATAAAAAATCGCTCGGTTTTTTCTTGGTTGTAGAATTCAATTTCCATCAAGTGTTCCCCTGTATCTGACACTCGGGCCACAAATCTTCGTTTGTCAAACGGAACATTGTAATCGTAGTACGCTTCACTTAACGTTACCAGAATGTTTCCTTCACGTGAACAGCAGATCCCAAGTGGCATATACTTCTCAAATTTGTGAGTAGTAGTGATAGTGTCAATGTTTGTTACCTTCATCACTCTTTTATTGAGTGGGTCTGTTGCTAGGAGCTCACGTTCCTTATTCATAGTCAAGCACTCCACACTGGTTTGGAAGTCCAATTCACGAACTACTTTTCCCCCAACAGTGACAAGCATATTGCTTTCTGACCCGATTTTGTGCATCCAGGTCAGAGCTGGTGAAATCGGGCAGATCGAATAAATATCCAGAGGACAATTTTTGGGGCCATAAGGATCTATTTCTTGTCGTTCAATAAACGGATAAATATCTGAACCCAGTTCCACCATCTTCATCAAATCGTCCACCTGTGTAATGATCACTTTGGCTTTTGAAGCCTCTTGCTCTTTTTTCACCTCTTCTATAAATTCACTGTCTGTTTTGATTTTCTCCGTGCCGTCCGGATTTCCCCAGTTCTTGGGGAGGTGTTTTTCTTTCTCCTGCTTCACCAGCAGCCTCTTCAGTAGTTTATGGTTCAGTTGTGTGTTGAGAACCTTTCTTAAGATGCTTGCATTAGGGAGCTCAGCTGAGACGGGGCTGGCCTGGACAAAATTAAGAGCTGCTTCAACTTCTTCATTCAGAAAAAATGGCTCCTCCCCATGAATTTCTGGATTATAATTTGTAATTGAATGGATGATGTCTTCCCCTATTTTCTCTACTTTAGTGTGAATAATATCAACAATAGTTGTCCCTCCACGATGAATGACGATACGCTTATATATTTTCTGAAATCTAGTTTTTAGCTGTGCAATGCCAGATAAAATTTTCTCACATGTCCTTTCCAATTCAGCAGCTTTTTCATCCACTTCAAATTCAGGATTTTCTTTTAAGAATTCAGCATCTGCTTTGTTTTTATTACTGAAATCTGTGTCAATGTCCACCAAGTCTCGTTTTTCTACCAGAAATATTGCCTGATCAATGAATTTTTTGCGCTCGGTAGGAGCAAGCCGATGAAGGATGCTGGTGGCAGACGTTTTGGTCAGCGCCACCCAGGCCTCTTCTATAGAATTCAGGCGGGTCGGTGGTGGAAGCTTTAACCACTCGCGGACGGCCTCCGTGAAGCCTTGATCCGATTCAAACTCATCTGATAACGCTTCGAATTCCTCCTCACTATCATACTCATCTTCCTCAACGTCGTCCACAAACTCGCCGAGTCTGAGATCAGCATACTTACTGATCTCATTGGGCTCGTTGCTATGGATATCAAAATCGTTTTCTTTGAGGTAGAGGATGGCCTCTGGGTCGAGGTCCTCTTTGAATATCTGCCATCTCTTACACTCCCCCTCACAGTGTTCACACTCGGTCTCGATGTCCTCCACCCGGAGCTTCTCGATGCTCTCCATCCTCTGAGTGTGTTCCGCGTAACTCCTCATCCTCTCCAAAATCATCTCCTCCTCCCAGAATAATTTTCTAAAATCACCTTTATTTATTATTTTCATTTTCTCCATAAGTGGATCCTCTCGTGCAATATCCCTCAGTGTTTCCTCGTTAGCAAAAGTAAACGACATTTGTGGCGGACGCGTTAAAATGTCATCTGGATCCTGATCCTGAAAACTCTTTTTCTTTCTCTTTTTCTTTTTTCTGGTTTTTTGTTCTTCCTCAGTATTTGTAGTCTTAGAACTATCACTGTCGTCACTAGACTTGGAATCGTCCACGGCTAACAATGCGTCATTAAACCGACTGGAATCAATCGGAACTAAACGCTTTAAGCTTTTGGGGTCATGTTTATGACTCCCATGACAACAAGTACATGATTCCTTTTTCCGAGTTGTTCCAAGTCTACGCGTACTCACATATCCCCCAGGCAAACGTCTTTTTCCTCGAATATTGACGGGAGTAAGTTCCTCCTCGTGTTCTACGTTTGTACATTCAGAGTCTGAAGGTTCATAAGGCATTAACTCGCACCAGCGATGCTGTTCCCCATGATGATTCATTCGTAAACAGGGTTCGCAACAAATCACACGACATGTTGTACACATAAACTGGTGCTCTTCCTTGTTCGCCATGTGAGGGCAGTTTGCGACCTGTTGTTTTTCTTTTTGAGTTTTGTCCGACACTTGCTGATTTGCCTTGATGAGCTCATCTAAATCAATTTCATCCAGAACATCCTTCTTTTTGCCTTTCTTTCCTTTTTTATTTCGACCTTTTGGTTCCACATTTTCTGAGTTTTCATCCTTCTTTGTCAAGATGTTATTTTTTGGCATATTGATGTTGTTAAATGGAGGTTCTTGTAAACTTAAATGCAGAGAATCTTTCCTGGAAAAGAAAATTAGATTTTAGTTAAAAAAAAATTAATGAAATCTTCAAAAATAATCATCTTAATGTGTACAAGGAAAGAAGAAATGAATTAAGAAAATGTATGGCTGCACTGGGAATCAAACCTGGGACCCCTGAATCAGTAATCAGGTGTTCTTCCACTGAGCTACCCAGGCCGACATACACAGTTCATATACCGGTTGTCCAAACTTTAGAAATCTACATTCCACCTTCTTCAACAGTCTTTTTACTCAAATATGTAAGTTTAGGATCCTTATCCTGAAGGACTTACAAAACAACAAGGACCAAGACCACCCACACTGATCAACAACGAAATAGCAGAATACTGTGAAATGACACTAATTTTCGTGGAGGTTTAATTTTCATGGTTTTCAAGGTATGAAGAAACCCACAAATTTATGTCCACCACAAAATGCAATTTTTCACCTATATAATTACTGAACAATTCTTCAACCACGAAATCCCAATGAACCAATTATTTTCCTCAATCCATGAAAATTTGACCACTTGAAAATATGTGATTTAGAATAGGAATGTTGTAGTAAGAAAATATATGGCTGGACCTCCAACAGAACCCAGGACCCCCTTCAGCACGACTTACTAATCAAGTGTTCTACTGATCTGAGCGATGTAGACCAACCATATCCACAATCCATATTCCCCAACTTTACATTATGAAAACACAATTAAATCACAAGCAGTATCATTATGTTGACTGTCTAAAAATTTTCTGCCTCTTGAAGATCTTAATCTTTTGATAATCTACATGAAATTTTCAATTTTGAATTAGTTCCAAATAAATCACCTTAAATCTGTCATGGCTTACACAGTAAGATACATAAGTATAATAATTATATTGTATGATGTGTGATACTCTCTGTTACAGTCTGCGGCTATATTGTTTTAGATGGTGTCTTTGATAAATCAGTTCCTGTCGTGCTTTTAAACTTCCTGCACATTCGGTGACAAGTCATTATACACAGCTGTGCAATTTCAAAACAAAGTCCCTTTTTGTGGATGATGAGATGCTTTGTATTGTTTGAAAACAGAAGATTTTGCAATAGATAAATTTAGTTATTCAACAAATGCTCTCAAGATAACAACGCTCATAAAAACTTATCTAAGCGATAAGGAGCCGCATTCATGACATTGTTTTCTATTGTGTATGGCCTGGTATCTATTTTTATCTCTGGGCTTTCCATATTTTTTGTTTCATTTTCAACATCCGGAAGAAATATAATAACAAACTGTCAAAATGCAAATACAAGGAGACGTGTGCGCTATAAAAGTCGACACATTATATTTTACTAATCTTCTTTCCACGTGCTTCTCCTAAATTGACTTCAAAACCAATAATGATCTAAATTTATAACATTTCAATTATTTTTAACTGTCTCTCCGATATGTTTTTTCGTCTGTTTGCATCCACCTCCCCACAGTTTAGTGTGTAAACAATGAAAACCAAATATTACCTGTTGTAAAATACTCGTCCCTTCTTTTTATGCAAGGAATTTCCTTTAAAAAACGACCAGGCCATTCAGCATTCCTCAACAACGTTGTCTGACAATCGCAGCCATGTTGTTGATCGGATTCTGCAAAACGTTTCTTATTACGGAAGAACATATGGGTTCAAGAAAAAACTATGGAACACACTTTCTGACATCAATGTTAATTTTTGCTAGCGCTCTCGAGTAACTACGTTAGTCCAAATTACTTGAATACGCATGCTCGGCTTCAAGGTCGTGCATTCTGGGAAAACTGTGAAAACTACTATAGATAGACCGTACGATAACATTGTCGTTGTATCATGTTGTAGCATTAAATATTGTGTAACTAACATTTCAAAGATATCTACATGTACATGTATTTGACTTCAAATTTTCCAAACTTTTTTTTGTGAAAAAAAAGCCAGAGACTTTGTCTAATTGTGTGGACCCTGCGGTCCACGCAGTAAATATATAAGCGAAGTTAAACCGGATCCCCTGGGCAAACGACAGGCTACGCATGCGCGCGAATGCTAGAGAGTTCGTTGTCTCGTTCAACCAGACCCTCGGCTGTCTCCGTAAATCTCCGACCACCCATCTCTGCTGGTCGGAGTTTACGGAGACAGCCGAGCGTCTGGTTGAACGAGACTAGAGAGTTCGCACCTAAGGTAACTTGCCCGTAGAATAATTCGCCCTATTCAAATTAAAATATGCCATTCAGTGGCAAATTGCGCTTTTAAATCTGCACATCGCTTTTATATATTCACTGGCAGATCCGATTTCCTCTCTTTTACATATACTTTTATACTAAACATTGATTCTATGGTACAAACATTTTAAGAAGTTACAGTATATAGATACATGTAACTTAACAACTTGAATGAGAAACGTCACTCCTTGAACAGAGATACATGTAGTTTTTAAAGCTTTTAAAGTAGAGCAAGTTTTCACCGGCATTAGTTTTGTGCATCAAAACTCGCAAAATAATTTAATATTTCAGCAATCTAATTATTGTTTGATAAAGGTCTGTAGCAAGGGCTTTGAATGTGTACGTGTGTTGGGGGGTGGGGGTGGGGGTGGGGGCTCCGACAAAATAAAAAAACAAATCTGCGTTGTACAGAGGTCTGCTACACGTGAACCATCAGATCTCCATTTTTCCCATGATAAATTTCTTCCGTATAAATCCAGAACAGGTGTCAAGTCCCAGCCAATATGTGTTACACGTGTCAAAATAACCCGATTTTTTAAACATGTTAAAACTGACAAAACTATAGATCAGTAATCGGAGATAAAATTTTACATTTGTGCTTTGAGACTACGATCAATAAGTGGCAGATAATTTTAGAATAAGTGAACAAACCTTACATGAATATTCCCTACACCTAGAAATTTTCTTAATTGAATTTCAGTTAGAAAAAATACGCATATGGTCCATGCACGTATTGCAGTCCTTTTTTAAAGGAGAGCAACTTGTTGTTCTCTTTATCTGATTGTTCTAAACAAAGACAAGGGATTTTTTTTTTTTTTTTTTTTTTTTTTTTTTTACATCTATAGACTCTTATTCCTGACTGGTCAATTCAGCCAATCTGACAAATTCCAGAAACAAGAATTGACACTAAAAATAACGAATAAATCCATTATTTATATAAATTATTCTGATGTGTATGGCTTTTAACCTGACATTTCTTGACAAAGATGACCCAAAGGACCAAGCTACTTCACATTCGGAACTCTCTTGATTTCTTTATACAACATATATACTTTGAGTTATTTTCTATATTCCTTTTAACTCCCCTGTATTTTCTTTGTTACATTGCCAAGAAATTCTATTCTTGAACCAGCTCATACAATGCCTCAATCGACATCATCTCCATATTATATAGAGTCTAGCAGTCTCCAGTAAAGGTCATAAATGTTCCGTTGCGCCAAAACTCCAATAGTTCAACACAAAATCCCCCCCCCCTCGTACTTTCTTTACCCATGTGTCCATAAAACACACTTCACAAAACAATTTTAACTTTATCACTCTCCAGCCTCGATAAAAATTAAATAATTCAGTAAACTAAATCACTTGATCACGAATACTCAATTCTGTGTTTAAAAATTGTTACGGCGCTGGCTCACCTATCTTCTTTAAAAGGAAAACTTGTAAAATGATATATTTGCATATCCACGTTTCTTTTTAGTATACAGTGGGATATGTCATTTTTAAAGCGTACATAAAATCGAATTTCCGTGACATTCTAGTGTATATGAAGCAGAAAGGTTTACAAAAAACTAAAAATTAACACTGCATACTGAAAAAAAATGTTAGAGTATAGTTCGAATTTCCTCGACAATACATTATATAGAAAAAATACAGTATCCTTGACCCAAGCCCCTATGTGAATAGCAATAGCTCTGCTGGCATATTTTCCATGATGCGCTAACGCGCATCATGGAATATGCCAGCAGAGCAATTGCTATTCATAACGCCATGTTCACTGAATAACGTTGTTTATTTCTTAAATAATAACCAACAAAACCCACAACAATCGATCAGATTATGTTCAATACATTATATAATCCTCAATAATTTAGTTGCTAAACTAACCATACTATAATATGTTTTACAGTGTGACCTTTGGGGCGATCGCAATTTTGTACTATCAAAAACCTATACACAAACACAGGCACTTGGGGTATGGAACTCCCCCCCACCCCCACTACCCTTTTTTCATTTTTTTTCTTTTCAAATCTTGGTTAGAGTCACCTTTTTCCTATTTTTCTTTTCTAATATGCATTATATGTTATCTGAATAATGTAACTCTTTTGTCTCTACAAGCTGTTTTTAAATATATCGTTTTCGACGGATAAATAATAAGAGAGCTCTCTTATCATTATATGAAAGAAAAATGGAAGGAAACAAAACAATAACAAGATGTGTTTGTGAAACACTGATGCCCGAGTATGGCAACATAGCGAAGGTTAAATTTTCTCAAGTGCAAATCAACCTTGTTGATACCCAAAGTAAGTCTTTCTCACAAGAAATACCTAAATGTGAAATATAAAGCCTTTGCACCACCTGTTCAAAAGTCGTTGCCAAGGGTATCGATTTTTAAAAGTAGGTCGAATCCCGGGCTCAAGATCATTGGGTCAAGGTTGTTGGTTTCTATAGAAAGGCCTTGTCACAAAGATTAAATGTGGGAAGTATGAAAGCCGTAGCCCTTGCCGTTCAAAAGTTATTGCAAAGGTTAAAGTTTTTTTAAGATTAGGTCAAACATCAGAGTCAAGGCCAAAGGGGCAAGGTTGTTGGTATCCAAAGAGAAGTCTTATCACAAGGATTATAATTACATATGTCTAGTATGAAATCCCTAGCCCGTTCCGTTCAAAAGTTATGGCCTAGGTTAAAGTTTTATAAAAGAAAGTTAATATTCAAGGTCAACGTCAGAAGGTCAAAGTTGTTGATATCTAATGGAATGTGTTGTCACAATACTTTAACCTTGGCCATAACTTTTGAACGGTAGGGGCTAGGGCTTTCATATTTACATATTTAATCCTTTCGAGAAGACCCTTCTCACTGGAAATATAATTGTGACAAATGAAAGCCCTAGCACCACCTATTCAAAAGTTATGGTCAAGGATAAGATTTTGAATGGTAGGTCAAACTCCAAGGTCCAAGGGTCAAAGTTGTTGGTTTCTTGAGAAAGGTCTAATGTCACAAGGATTACACGTGTGCAGTATAGGAAGCCCTAGCCCTTGCCGTTCAAAAGTTATGGCTAAGGTTAATTTTTTTTAAAATGGAGGTCAAAATCCAAGGTCAAGAGGTCAAAGTTCTTGATATCAGATGAAATGTCTTATCACAAGGATTATAATTATATGTAAAGTATGAAAGTAGTAGGCCTAACCCTTTTAAAAGTTATTGTCAAGGTTTGCTTTTTAAAAGAAGATCATCCAAGGCGAAAGGGTCAACGTTCTTAATATCCAAGGAAGGATCTTCTCACAAGGATGTCATATGTGAAATATGAAAACCCAAGTCCTAACCGTTTAAAAGTTATAGCCAAGGTTAAAGTTTTCATAAATACGGAAATCTCGAAGATCAAGGTCAAAACGTCAATGTTATTTTTATCCAATGAAAGGTCTTGCCACAAAGAATACACAATTGGAGGATGAAAGCCCTAGCCTCAACCGTTCAAAAGTAATGACCAAGGTTTCAAATTTCAAAAAGTAAGTCAAACTCCAAGGTCAAATTCAAAAGTCAAAGCTCTAATTGATATCAAATAAAAGGTCTTGTCACAAGGATTATATATACAAAGTATAAAAGCACTAGTCTTAATCCTTTAAAACTTATGGTCAAGGTTTAGTTTTAAAAGTAGGTCAAACTCGAAGGTCAAAGGGTCAAAGTTCTTGGTATCCAATGAAGGGTCTTCTCGAAAGGATTAAATATGTAAATATGAAAGCCCTAGCCCCTACCGTTCAAAAGTTATGGCCAAGGTTAAAGTATTTTCGTAAGTACAGAAATCTACAAGGTCAAAAGGTCAAGGTTGTTGTCATGAAAAGTTTTGCCACAAAAATACATATGTGAAGCATAAATCCTTGCACTTGCCGTTCAAAAGTTAGGGACAAAGTACAAGTTTGAAAATTTTGTGTTAAAGTGGGTCAAACTCTTAGGTCAAGGTCAAAAAGTCAAATTTGGTGGTGCAAAAAGAAAGGACATGTCACAAGGAATACACATGTGAAATATGAAAGTCATAGCTTTACTAAATCAAAAGTTATGGGCAAGGTTAAAGTTTTTGCGGAAACAGACAGACAGACAGCTAGACAGACAGATGGACGGACACAACAAAAACTATATACCCCCGAATCTTCAATCACTACCTATGTTTACGACTTTACGTCTTAGGTTTGACACGGCGAGATTCGAACCCGGGCCTCCCGATCACGAAGCGAACACTCTACCACTAGGCTGCCGTGACCGGTTCTTCCTCGTTTGAAAATGATTACTTCGTAAAGAGACATATAGAAACATATAGAGATAACGAAGAGTATTCACGATCAAAGGTCCATAAAACAGTACAAATTAGGAGCAGAGCAAACATGGATCTCCAAAACATCGTCGATA